GATCACACAGGATCACTGTGATCACTGGGGTCACTGTGTGCCCTCTGGAGTCACACAGGATCACTGTGCTCACTGGGATCACATGGGATCACTCTGTGCTCACTGGGGTCACATGGGATCACTCTGGGCTCACTGAGGTCACTGTGTGCTCTCTGGGGTCACGCGGGATCACTGTGCTCACTGGGATCACTGTGTGCTTACTGCTAGAGAGGAGCACTCACTAGAGGAAGAGCAATGGAGGGCAGGGACCACACACACCTTATTCCCCTTCATTGCTTCTGAGGCCATCTAGGCACATGGTTGTAATCAGGGAGGAGGAAATGGCAGAATAAATAGAGACAATGAAGAAAGGGAGCAAGGAAAGGAATTTGAAAAAGAGGCTGGAAAAGGACGGGTATTGTATGATCTGATCCCATTTACATGAAGTATCTTGAATAGACAAATACATGGAGACAAAAGTTTAGTAGTGGTTGTTTACCAGAGGCTGTGGGGAGGAGAGACCGGGGAGTTACTGCTTGAAGGGCACTGGTTTGGGGTGATGAAAACCTTTGGAAATATACAGTGGTGATGGTTGTACAACATGGTGGACGTAAGGAATGCCACTGAATGGTACACTTAAAATGGTAAAAATAGCAACTGTTTTGTTATATTTTATGACAATAATAAACCTAAAAAGAGAGAGGGGTTGGGAATGGGTATAGAGGGGAGGCAGTAAGGACAGAGGATGGGAGCTCAGAAGGGCAAGTGTTGAAACCTACAGACTGAAGCTGATGATTGGTGAATGGAAATAATGGGGGGCGGGGGGCAGCTATTTTAGGACATCCAGTTTCAGAAGGGTGCCAGTTAGCAGGAACTGTGCTTTCTACTTTTCCAAACCCAGACAGATGGACATTAGGAAGCTGTTAACAACTTATAATCCTACTGTTTCTAGTCTGGGACTCTTCTCTTCATTTCTGTCCTGCATTTTTCTGTCCCCTACTGTACCTGTCCCGTAATGCAACAAATTATCAGTAGTTTAAACAGTGTGGGAGAGGGCTAAAGGAGTCCATGGGAACCTAAGCTGGCACACTGACAAATGGGTAGGTAGAGGCAGTTACATGTAGCTCAAGTGCAGCAGGAGCCCCAGGAGGCTTTAGAGAAGCTACTGGGGGTCCCTGAGACCTTGCGTGAATGAATAGTGAGGGTGAGCCATTTCACCAGAGACACTTCTCTGGTGCCTGAAAACACCACTTGCTCACATGACTCATTTCTGAGATTGGCCATCTTATCAGAGAAAGCCCCTGGGGTGCCACCAACTGCAGGTGGGGACCGGAGCATGGCTGAGTACACCTGGGGATGGAGGCCAGCATACCTGTTCTGCTGTCCTTGGCCCTGGACCACTTGCCCGGCCCACTAAGACCAAGCCATGACTAGCAACTGGATTTCTTTTTGCCTTAAAGATGAAAGACGTGAACTCAAACTAGAATGGGACTACTTATCTAATCCTGGCACATTAACAGAAGCTTTACAAAATTAACAAAAATACAGAACTGACTCAACGTCCAGTACATCTGGGACACAACGTCCCTAGAAAGAGATCAAGCCCCCAGCAGATCTTCACTGCTGTCTGGCGCAGTGATGATTCAGGGCTTATTCCATTCACATGTCTCCATGTAAAATGAACTAGGATAGTGGTAAGACACCCACCTGTCTCCCTGGAGGCCTGGAGCCGCTGGCCGTTACAGAAGGCGCCCCGGCCGCACCGGCCTGTGTACAGCCGCTCTTCCGTGCAGTGATAGATGACTCCAAATTCCAGCTGCAAATACAGAGGCAGGACACCAAACAATTGCAGTCACTTACTTGACACAAAACACTATGTGGTCATTCAAAGATGGAGGTTACCCTAAGTGTTAAGACTAATGGAGTGACAACGTACTAGAAGTTACCTTCCAAAAAGGAATTGAAAATTCAAAATTAGACCTGGACAAAAAGGCCAACTTCCTTTCTGTAAATGACTATATTTAAAACTAATAAAACTATATTAAAAATTAACATAATAATCAAGCATTCATAGCCAAAAGTTATTGAAAAAGCTAATTCTTTAGGAAGGCTTCTTTTTTTTCTTTTTTTGGGAGGGGAAAAAGGCTACCATGGCTCTAATCCAACCCCAAAGGAAATCTTCAAAACTGCTGATGTGTGAAGAATTATGACTGCATCTGTAAAGTCAACAGAGTTACAGATACCCAGGGACGACCCCCAGAAGAAAGCGTGAGTCCCTGAAGAGGGGCTCATCCTTGAGCAGGCGAGCAGCCGCCTCGCTGCCTAAGTCAAGGGACGGAAGGGCAGATCACTGCCTCTCAGCAGGATGACGTAAAACGATGATGAGGTAAACATGGCACTAATGCTACCTCACCTCCATGAGCTTTTGCTCCCTTTTCTCTACCTACTATTCACCATTCAGGGTTAACAAACAGTGAGTTCCATTGGCTTTGAGGTTGGCCAAGTGTTGATCTCTCTGGAAAATATGGAGACTCGCCAGGCCAAATGCCCAGGGAAGGCCTTGGCCGGCCCTGGGTTGTACGCCACTCCACCAGAATGGACGCTCAGCCTGCAGAGCAAGGCTTAGTTCTGGAGGGGTCGTTGAGTCAACGTTTATTGACAGCCCACGACCTTCCAGCAATGTTTAACTACTCCTACCACCTATACCCTAGCTGAAAAGGGATTCTCAAGTCCAGATGTATCCTAGCGGTATTCTCGTGGCTGAGTCTGGGGTGGACTCAGGACAGCCACACCTCACCCTGCGTTTGTGAAGAGAGGGCATCATTGAGACTCTGGCCCCAGGGGGATGCACTACAAGCCCACCTGCCCCTATTCAATCCCAGTCAGCCCCTCTAGAGTCCGCTGTAGTGTGTGGTTCCGAGCACTGGCCCTCTGAAGACAACTGCTTTACCTCCTGCACTCTTCTGTCTCAATGACATTCTCAACACAGAAGCAGGTCCTGAAATGCCAGCGCTGAAATGCCAGCTTTTCTTCAGCCTAAACGATTAGGTGGGTATGGACTTCTCTCTGTTTCCATGTGAAGAAACTTATGGTAATTTTGAGGACTAAGCTGAAGAAATGGTGTTCTAAAGGAGGGCTGCTTTTGAAAAACACAGAGCACCCAGCCTATTTAAATAAAACTACAGGAAGTACAAAGATATTAAGGCTTTTCGAAGGGTTATTGATTAAATTGATTCACACAGTTGAAACCTCAGTCCCAAGTCTTTTATGTGGTCCCATGACACTGCTTAGTTCAGATGGCCTATGGGAATCCTGAAATAGCCACATTCTCATACTGATAGCTAAAGGAAGAGAAAGAAGAATTAATAGAATATTGGGATGAAAAGTGCTCTCCCAAACTAGGAACTCGTTTAGTTTGTGACTAGACCACGTGCTTGGGGGTCAGATGGAGATGGCGCTTATGCCACTTGCTCAGGCCTCCTCCAAGTGCCTGCAGTGCAGCACCCAGACCACGGAGGCCACGGCCACGCCTGCACGTATGCCCACACCCACGTCCACACGTACGCCTATACCCACACCCACACATACACCTACACCCACATCCACACATACACCCACACCCACGTCCACATGTATGCCTATACCCGCACCCACACATACACGTACACCCACATCCACACGTACACCCATACCCACACCCACACATACACCTACACCCACATCCACATGTACACCCACACCCACGTCCACACGTACGCCTATACCCGCGCACCCACACATACACCTACACCCACATCCACACGTACACCCACACCCACGTCCACACGTACGCCTATACCCGCACCCACACATACACCTACACCCACGACTGCATGTACACCTACACCCACACCTGTGCCCACACGGACACCTACACCCACAAGCACACCCGCACCCATGGCTACATGTACACCTACACCTGCACCCACACCCACAAGTGCACCCATGCCCACCTGCACCCACATGTACACCCGCACCCGCACCCGCACCCACACCCACCCGCACCCAGCTCCACCTGCACCCACACCCACACGTACACTCGCACCCACACACGCCCACCTGCACTCACACATACATCCGCACTCACACCCACACCCACCCACACCCCCACATTCACCCACACCCACATCCACCCACACTCACACCCATACTCATACATGTACCTACACCCACACTCACACATACGCCCATCCACACCCACTGGTACACCCACATCCACCCACACCCACATTCACACACACCCACACTCACATCCACCCACACTCACACCCATACTCATACATGCACCTACACCCGCACTCACACATATGCCCATCCACACCCACTGGTATACTCACATCCACCCACACCCATACCCACTGGTACACACCCACCCACACACAACCATACCCACACTCACCCACGGCCACACCCACCGATACCCACCCACACCCACAGGTACACCCACACACACCCACACTCACATGTACACCCACACCCACACATGCACCCACACCCACACTCACACATACACCCGCACCCACACACACGCCCACCGGCACCTATATCCACACCTACACTTACACTTACACCCACACCCACATGCACACCCAAATCAGTCTGGATTTGCTCACTTTCTCGAGCTTATCTTTCAAGATTGAAAAACACATACTTGGATTTACTAGTCATGACTAAAGGTACACGGTGAGCAGAGAAAAACAGGAGCCCAGAGTTGGAAGCAAAAGGAAGGGTATGAACAGCACATGATAGTGGGGCCCTTGGGGATGGAGGGAGGGAAGGGTGAACACCAGGTACCTCTTGGTTCACAGCAAACCCGATGCTGACGGCCACGGTTGGAAATCTGCAAGGGAAACAGGGTGGTTGATGCTTGAAAAACAAAACTGATCTTGAGCAACACACGGACTTAGCAGTCCTCGGTGGCAATGTCCCTGGAGGAGGACAGAGGCCCTTTTTACAGTGAGGCTTTTTTTTTTTTTTTTTTTATACTTCCTATCATAATTTTACAAACTGTGTCCAAGACAAACAAGCTTAGCTGACCATGTCTTGAAAGAAAACAGATTTTCAAAGTCACGTAACACTGATACAATTCAACCACGACCAACTAATACCCAGTTAAGAATGGTTCTCAGAGATCTAGAGGATCAGCAGAGAACTCCAGAAAAGGCAACACCCACATCCAGGGCGTGAGGAAGGGCCGGGAGGCAGCACCACAGGCCCGACCACACCACGGGCCACCTCCCAATAACATCCACCTTATCCCTGTTTCCCACATGAGCTCCACACAGCCAACAGCAGGGGCAAGCCATGGAGGCGGAGGCCTGGTTGTCATCTTACAATTTGCCTGCAGCTTTATTTTGTGACTTTTTGCTGCTGCTCAATGTCTTAAAAATGATCTCTCCTTTATTTGGAGATCATCAGAGTTCAAAAACAGGTAGAACAAGGAAGAGTTGGGTACTGGGGCCTTATAGGAAAGTAGGAGCTCAGTCACACGGGAATCAGAGCGGTTAGTGTGACGCTGCAGAAGTGTGGGGCGTTGGGCTGCTGCTCTGCTGGCTCACCAGCTGGACGAGCACGCCACAGACCAGTCTCCCTCCACCTCCGCGCTCAGAAGACTGTTTCCCGCTTGCTCTAGTCCCACACTTTGGGACACACAGTGAATAGCTCACAGCTGAGCTGCAGTTTCCAGAGGCCTTTCAGATGCCTTTAGGCTGCCAGCATTTCTGTGGCTGTGACCCTCAGTGTGTTCTGGAAATATAAGGGTCAATAATATAGCTTGTTTTTAAAATTATGCTGTCCTCCACGTTGTTTCTCTGGCCCCACATTCCCTGCTGGGCTAGAGAGAGCAAAGTCCTTGGGAACTCTGGCTCTGGGGCGAGAAGGGCCATGAAAGGCCCTCAAATGGACCGGTGGACTTTGCACACGAGGTGGGTCTCAGTCACGGCAATCCCATCACAAGCACACTGCAGAAGTGAGGGGAACAGAAGGAATGGGTGCTCCCTGCAGCAAAATGCCCTAAACAGAAATGCTACTCTACACGGCCGCTCCAGGGAGTCACTCTTTAGTTGAAGTTACAGTTGTGGTGACACAGTTACTGTCACCAGATGGCACTATTCCACTGGCTCAGAAGGGTCACCTTGCGTAGGCATGACTGAAATCTCAGATGGGCCACGTTTAGAAACATGTTATTAACATGATATACTGTAATTACTTTACATGCTTTACATATAAACATAAGATTTGAGGGAAAACATAAAGGATTATAATACCAAGGGCGAGAAGCCCTATAATCTGGCTCCCTCACACTTTCCTCCTTAAAATTACACAATTCCGCACTTCCTAGTCTTCAATGGCCACGGCTCTTGGTGTGGTCCAGTAGCATCTCATCACTGTGAGCTGATTAGAAATGCAAATCAGTGGCCCACCCCGACCTGCTAAGTCAAAACCTGTCCTAACCAGCTGTCCAGGGGATTCTTTATTGTTGTTAGGTGTCTTCAAGTCGGTTCCAATTCATAGCAACCCTATGTAGAACAGAACAAAACGCTGCCCCATCCTGTGTCATCCTCACAACTGTTACTATGTTTCAGCTCACTGTTGTAACCACTGTGCCAATCCGTCTCAGAGGGTCTTTCTCTTTTTCGCTGACCCTCTACTTTACCAAGCATGATGTCCTTCTCCAGGGACTGGTCCCTCCGATAACATGTCCAAAGTAGGTGAGATGAAGTCTCACCATCCTCCCTTCTAAGAAGCATTCTGGCTGTACTTCTTCCAAGACAGATTTGTTCATTCTCCTGGCAGTCCATGGTATATTGAATATTCTTTGCCAACACCATAATTCAAATGTGTCAATTCTTCTTTGGTCTTCTTTATTCATTGACCAGCTTTCACATGCATATGAGGCAACTGAAGTTATCATGGCTTGGGTCAGGCGCACCTTAGTCCTCAGAGGGAAATCTTTGCTTTTTAACACTTCAAAGAGGTCTTTCACAGCAGATCTTCCCAGTGTAATATGTTGTTGGATTTCTGACTGCTGCTTTCATGGGCTTTGAGTGTGGATCCAAGAATGAAATCCTTGACAACTTCAATTTCTTTGCCATTTATCGTGGTGATTGATGTTCGTTGGTCCGGTTTTGAGGATTTGGGTTTTATGTTCAGGTATAATCCATACTGAAGACTGTAGTTCTTTACCTTCCTCAGTTAGTGCTTCAAGTCCTCTTCCCTTTCAGCAAGCAAGGTTGTGTCATCTGCACATTGCAGGTTGTTAATGAGTCTTCCTCCACTCCTGATGCCCCATTCTTCATATAGTCCAGCTTCTCAGATTATTTGTTCAGCATGCAGATTGAATAGGTGTAGTGAAAAATACAGCCCTGCTGCACACCTTTTCCAATTTTAAACCATGCAGTATCTCTTTGTTCTGTTCGAATGACTGCCTCTTCATCTATATGTACAGGTTCCTCATGAGCACAATTAAGTATTCTGCAATTCCCATTCTTCGTGATGTTATCCATAATTGTTATGATCCACACAGTTGAATGCCTTTGCATAGTCAATAGAACACAGGTAAACATCTTTCTGGTATTCTCTGCTTTCAGTCAAGATCCATATGACATCAGCAATGATAGTCCTCGTTCCACATTCTCTTGTGAATCCAGCTTGAATTTCTGGCAGTTCCTTGTTGATGTACGGCAGCAGGTGTTTTTGAATGATATTCAGCAGAATTTTGCTTGCATGTGATATTAATGATATTGTTTCGTAATTTCTGCATTCTGTTGGGGATTCTTACAAAGTCTGAGAACCACCTCTATGGAAACCATTAACAGTAATGACTTTGGGGCCTTGGCCACCTGTGGCCTGGACACCCAGTTATAGTTTTAGCTTCAAGCTTTAAAGTCTGAAAACCCCCTACCCCCACTGAGAGCTTCCAGTAGCCACATCCTTGCCATGTCGTCACAGCCAGCTCAGCTCCCGGGGTCCAGCCGCCCTTCCCTCCCTTCCCCCAAGGGCCCTGCCACCTCCCCACAGACTCTCTGCTTGTAGTCTGCCCAGCCAGCTCCAGGCGGGCTCTCAGGCCATCTCAGCTTGCTCCTGTCTCCCAAAGTGCTCCTCAATCTGCTGCCCCTGGCCCCTGGGGCTGTCCTCTCACTGGTTTTGTTCTCTAATCCTACATGTTTCTTTGGGGGGATTTTTTGAAGGGGTCTTAAATTCCACCCAGTATTTTAAGCATAAACAATGGCTTTTAAACAAGTGGAGATTTTTTACATAGTCTAAGTCCCTCACAAATGGAAAACTTTTTGATCATCTTTTTCATGAGACTATAAACCTCCTATATGTTTGCTTATATGCTGTGCACCGTTGAGTCGATTCCAACTCATAACAACTCTATAGGACAGACTGGAACTGCCCCATAGGGTTTCCTAGGCTGTAGCCTTTATGGGAGCAGATCACCGGGTCTTTTCTCCTGCAGAGCCGCTGGTGGTTTCAGAGCAGCCGAGTGCTTAACCATCGCACCGCCAGGGTTCCTTTTTGCTTATATATTCCTGCCTAAAACATACTGCTTTTGGAAAGACAATAGTTAGAGAAAAGGACATTTTAAACACTGACATGGAGGTTATGCGTGCTATGCTCACCTGTGCACAAAGTTACAGGTCCCATCAATGGGGTCAATGATCCAGGTGGGGCTGGCGGTGAGCACACACTTTGCTCCGGAAGCAGCAGACTCTTCCGCAATGAACCTGTGGTGGACAGGACGGAGTGGCGGACTTTACGGAACGAGCTAATACCAAGAACACTCCACAGTAACTCAGAGCAAAGTATTTCAAATCACTTTAAGTCCTGTTTTTTAAAAAAAAGGAGATATAGGAAAGAGATTTCTTTATGGTTTCTCTGGATTGAATGGAGGCATCTGCTTTCAATCTATTAACCCGCTCGTTAGCAGGATTAGAACGCACAGGGACACCTCTGGGTGCGTGTGTGTTTAGAAACGCATCAGGGAGATCCGAGTGGGCCAGGCAGAGAACAAAGGCGTGATAACATCGGGAAATAGAGCTTCCGAAGCAGAGGCGGCGACCTGTTTTAAACGCAGTCTGTAGGGCGGACAGCAGAGAAAGCGCAGACAGAGGGAAACAGGGCTGCTTCCACCAGTTCCGAGGTGCTAAGGACCACCCATAGCTGACAGTTCCCAAGTCGGCCTCCCAGCCCCACAGCCTGCTGAACTGCAGACACAGGTGGTGTGCACCAGTCCCCCCCGCGGGTGCTGAACGAGCGTGGCGTCTGCCGCTTCCACTCGGCCCCTCCAGAGCCCCTCTCTGCCCTGTCTCCACATCACAGCACTCTGATCTCTGGCTTCCCTTTGGGCTCGACCAAGGGGAAGCCCAGGAGGTGAGAAAGCAAGGAGAGTGTGGGGTTGGGATACTTATTTCTCAGCTCCCCTGCTGAGGTGCCCCCTACTCCTGCCAAGTGGGCCTCCTCTAAGACCTCCTCCTTCAAGTTCTGTCCCCCACCCTCAGGCCCAGGAGCACGATGGTTCTGCTGCTGCTGCCCCTCAGGCTTTGCTCTATCTTCAGGGTCCCCTGGGCCTGACCCCTTCTTCATAATAAGTACCTCTGTAATTAAACCCTCCTTAATTTATCCTCACTGGAGTGTGCAGCTATTTCCTGCTAGGAATCTAAGACACTCAACATCTAACGATGAACCTACACCAAAGTCCATCTAGGCAACGGCTCAGGCCCAAACTGGGCATCATCTCTAGTTCTTCCCTGGTTCTTCCTCCTCCAGTCCTCAGCTAGGGTCATCAGGGCGCAGTGGGGCCCAGTGCAGTAGCTGCTAGCCATGTGTGGCTGCCAATACTCAAATTAAAATGAGAGTAAACATTCATTCCTCAGTCACACTAGTCACATTTCAAGTGCTCAGTAGCCCCATGTGGTGAGCAGCTGCTACAGTGGACAGAGCACGTATGGAATCCGTCCATCATCACAGGACATGCTATCAGGCAGAGCTGTCTCAGTCTACAGCACTGTAAAGTCACAGGAAGTGCCTTGTGGAACACACCTGGTCCTCCAGCAATGTGGGGGCCACCATTCCATTTCATAGGTCAGGGGCTATGTGCTCTCAGTCTACCACAGAGTGCCTGGCCTTGGCTTTATAGATGAGCTGTCAGAAGCACACCACTGTTCGCTATGTATGTATGTATGTATCACTCCCAGGTGCTGTCCCCACCTCTTTTCCCCAGTTCCCCAAGTTCCACTCGCTGGCTCTCCCTGAAAGGGATGTGAAAACCAGATGTGGGATGACAGGCTGCACTGAGCTCACATCCGAGAGACCTAGGCCCCTGGAAAAAGCGCTCTGCCTGCAGGGCTCTGTAGACACAACCTGCCCCCAAGAAGTGCACAGCCTCGTGGGTGGACCAAACAGACGCAACACTGGGGACTCAGGTACCCTTCCTTTGTCTGCACCCCACTCCCTTCTTCTGGGAATGGCCTCTCTGCCATCACTCCCCTCCGTGTGCTTCTGGGGGGTTAGTTAGCAAAGGGTTCCCAACACCACTACCACGGGGCTGGCCATGTGGCCCAGCAGCTAGTCCTGTCCCAGGGGCTGGTGTTCCCCAAACAAGTCTGCACGGAACTGATGCTAAGTTAGGGGCCTGATGAGCAATGAGCCGCAGGGTGGGGTGGGCACTGAAACTTGTGACCCTGGTGGTAATGCTGCATACAAAGAGCTATTCCACCAAGTAACCACTGTACGTGGCACTAGCCCTGCCACCTCTCCTCACTAAGGACTTAAGGCATTAAATCTATGTTAATGTTCTCTTCTGCAGCTGCATGGTTTTCTTCCCCTGAAAAGGCTGCAGTTTTGTTTGTGAAGAAAAGGGATCCATACAGTACAAAAACACACATATAAGCAGCAAATGCCAAAGTCTGAACTTGGCACAAGGTTGAGATTGCTCAAGTCAAGAAAGGAATAGAAATGACTCACGTACAAAGGTAAGTTCCTAGGAAACTGGGGAGGGAGGGGAGCTCGCCTTTGTGGACCTGTTTCAGCAGGAAGCTGGCATCTGCCAGAACCAGAGAGGGACGGCTGGGTCTCCTGGCAAGAAAGGAGGGAGGCCTGTCTGCAGCATCACCTCCTAACTGCCCTGGAGCAGCACAAGGCCACTCGGCCACTCACCAAGGTGGGCTCCTATGACACCTAAGGCCACAAGCGCTGTTTGTCATGAGAAAACCACGTGTACCACTGTCCACAGGGCTCGCCAAGCAGCTTGCCTTTGCAGCAACAATCATGACACTTCTGGCTAACAAAGCTTTTGTTTTACATGACATTTTTGGTGGAAATAACTCCAATTACCCAGAGCGAGCCCTGGATTTTGCAGTTGATTATTCGTGCCCTGGAGTTCTCCTCCTCTCTCGTCACCGCTTGTACTTTCTGCTCATTAGCCCAACTGTCCCCGTGAAAGGAGATGGGATGACCATGGGTCATTCCCTACTGCTTCCTTCTAGAGGACAGCAGTTTGGGGCAGGGCCTGCAGGGGGCTGCAGAGGCGTGGACCACAGCCAGCCTCTGGAGGCACCAAAAAGCACTGCCCTGGTATATGGGGAAGGATGTAGAACCTTTATCTACTTACACCTGATTTTCTTCAGGTGGAACGATAATCCCTACGGAGTGACAGAGAACATTCTCTAGCTCTCCGCAGAGGGGGTGGTGAGTCCTCTCTGCAGACACTCACTTGGATGGATGTGTGAAATAATGAAGACCTTAACGAAAGTCACTGAACATTTACATAGAACTCATAATACAAAAGGGAAAAATGCTCGTGACTAAATCTAGGAAACTCAAAGAACATTTCACAGCCTACATAATGCAGAAGAGGAAAATAGGGAGCAACTGGGTTAAGGTAAGAAGCTTAATAACATATTAGAATGACACATTCTGCTCCATAATTTAACTCCTTTCCTTTTATCCCCCTCAAATAGTTGTAACAAACACCCCTTACAGTTTTGACAGCCAACTGCATCCAGGACTTTATTTTTTCTAGCTCATTAGTTTGTTTAATTTGCTACAAGAAGCCAGGGCTATTATGCCCTCAGTCCACAAGGAGCAGTTGATGTCACTCTGCTCCATCTTCAAAAGGCGTGGCCAGTTCCCGCCAGTGGCCGTTCCCACCAGCGGCCAGTTCCCGCCAGCTCCCCAGCAGCCTCCAGCCTGAGTCCATGAAAGCCTAGGGCACACACAGTGGGAGGAAGGACTGAAGCAAATGTCCACCTGCTGGGGGGATGGGCGGTGTGTCCATGTGAGGACTCTGCTGACATGTTGCCTGACTCATTCATCCAACAAGTGTCGCTCTGGGTTTGGCTCGGTTCAGGGCACAGACTCCCTGGGCGGACGAGTCACATCTCCCCAGCCGTCCCCGGCTGGGCAGAGAAGGGGCTGCACCAGCTGGGCAGCACAGCTGCTGCCCCCTTCCCTTCACCTGTGCCAACCCAGACGACCTTCAACAAGGCTTCTCAGCAAAAGGGGAATGTCTGAACACTGCCCCAGTACAAGTCACAGGCCCAGCAAAGCACCTGGCTGCTTTAGCTCAGGTAAACATCACATGCGTGCCCAGAAAACAGAGGCTTGCAAAAATCAACTCAACTCAGTTCTTCTCTGGGAAGGAGATGCTCTTTTCTGACTTCAGACATTTTGCAGAATTCACAAAATCACTGAAGTAGGAGGTACCAGCTCAGCCCCTGAATGCCCTATGGCCCAGTGGACTCGGAGGGACAAAGGTCAGCACAGCTTAGGATCTAAAGCCGAGGCCCTGCCTCTCTTCCCTGTTTGTATACATATACACACACTCACACCCACATATGCACACACATACACACACGGACTTGGAACTTGGCACTAACTTCAAGTTATTAACTGAAAACAGACTCAGGCATCCGACAGCTGGGGCTCATGTGGCCAGTGCCAACACAATGCTTCAAAGATCCAACATGCAGAAGCACCAGCCTCAATGTGCTGGCTGGTTTTCTGTCACCAGCATGTTACAGCTGGACACAGAACCTCAGAGGGGACTGCGGCCAGCCCTCGATCACAGGTGAGTTCACACCTCATGATTCTTTGATCCTGTCGGCTCCTGTCTCCCAGACCAGGGACCAGACTTCCTGATTTCACAGATGAGTAAAACAAAATAATGAAACCAGGGAGCCTACAGTGGGTTGTTCTTAATTTTATTTAAAAAACCAGTTGCAATCTATCTTTAATATTATTTCATAAAGGACTTAAAAACGAGGAAGGATCTAAGTGAATAAACAAAGTCCTCCCTAAGAAAGGGTGATAAGCTCTCTTAGGCGACCATGTTTTTAATGGTATATTTAAATGCTTTGAATGCTAAAAAATCACAACATACCATTTTATTTTACAATATGTATTTTCTCATCACAATTTGATCAATTTCTCTATGATCTAAAACACAATTAAATGTCCAAGATTCAGATACTTTCTTTCTAATCTTAGTCACTGGCAAAAAACAAGCTTCACGTAGGTATGTTGAAAAAATTATCTCATTTAATTTGAATTTTCTAAGAACATTGAGAGGAGAATGGAGCAGCAACTTACCAGCCTGCAGCCCTCATCCCAGCTCTTTCCTCTGGCTGAGAAAGATGTGGGGCGAAGAGCCTGGGCCTGACTGAGGAGCCACAAAACCCTGACACCCCTCACATTCCCCTGCTGGTGTGCTGTGCTGTGGGTTGAG